AAAAAAAAAAAAAAAAAAAAAAAAAAAGAAAAATGATACGGACGTGTTAAACTACGGCGATGAAATAAGTCAATTATTTTTATTCGAGAATAGTAAGATACAACAATTGTGCCTTATATATCTTAGATTCAGATATTTGTTCTATGAAAATACGTTCTATAGATGCATCCTTCTCCACTGCGTAACGTTACATCGATATGATTGGATTAAAAATGCAAACTAAAAGTATCGATGATTATATATTATATAAAAATTAAATAAATAATATGTTTATTAAAAATCATTCGTTATATCGTTTCCTTGTCTCCTTTATCCCGTGTTCCACACATAGTTTTCCACGCTAGTTGTACAAACTAGTCCGATAGTTATTCCAACTTGCTAAATTAGAATTGCCAAAGCGATGATTTCCCAGTCGCTTCGACTACCTAACTGACAACACCCGCTGAAATGTGGCCAACGAAATGACTCTATGGGCGAAGACAAATTTCATCTTACGAGATAGTAAACTTTGTTCCTGCGAAATGACGATTTCCTGTGTCCAATTTGTGGTCTGCATTTTATGCCATAAATCTTCTTTATTTAGAAACATATTCTTTTGTGTTTATTTGGTTTATATGTGTCAAGATATATGGAGGATATGAAATATTGGGAATGTAGGAGAAAGGAAATAGAGCGTTGTATGTGGAATGCATATAGAGAAATACTAGACGAATATTCAAACTTAATTTTCTCGAGAACGGAGCTCTGTGCGAAAAATGTTAACTCTCGATGATATATACGGGGAAATATATATTTTCGATTTACTTTCACGCGAACAATTTTCCGATTGTTCAACGATTTCGAAAACTGTAGTTTAAATTCGTTTCTCTCAAAACAGTATTTTCGAAACAGGCAGATCTGATTGCCACAAAACCTTTGAAAAATGTTTCAGATCGAATGTCTCGGGAACCGGTACGAATTGTTGGGTAAAAATCGAGGACCAGTCATAAGCATTCAAAAATGTTGATTCGTAATAGCAGTTAGGAAAGCGGAAGCTTTTTCTCGTAGAAAAGATGTGTCGTCTATGTATCGATAACGAGAAGGCTGTAAAATAGATTGTTATTGTCAAACAGTGCGCATAAAACGAACACTTAAACACGGTTGGCTGCTTCTCATTGAATAAATTTGCATTCACCAGGAAGAACACGATCCGTAACTTGTCATCGTTAGATGTATCGTACCTGTAACCATGAATAACGATACACAGGCTTTTTATCATACGAACTGTGAAACTTAGCACAGTTTACATCGTACGCGTCACGCTTACCATTTATTTCTTAACAATGTGGCGTAATAAATTTCTTTTTTCTATGCTTGTACATTTTTAATTGCTGGGAAAAATTTAGTTGTTCAATCTGCGATTAATATATATCGTTATTATTAATTACATGGATTTCTTATGCTATCATCATAGTTATTACAACTAATTGTTGCAATGTTTGATTTCACCATTTTCTCTGGAACGCTGACGAAATTTGTCGAAAGATGATCTGTTTCAATTTTCAACACTATCGTTTCATTTTATTTCTTGGCTACGCGATTGTCCATTTTTGTCGAAGTAACTGCTTCAAGAAAAATTCTACATCTTTATTTACGTACATCCGTGACCTGGAGACTGCTATTACGCAGAAATATTGTAAATAAGGAGCGGTGCATATTATTGTACCCTTAAGTATACTTTATGTTTTGGGTTGCAAGGTCTAGGAACAAAGGAACTAATAAATAGATTTCTATTTATGTTCCCTGTAGCTTCTAGCCCAAGCTATAAGCTTACCTTTCTTGGTAATGTCCTTTTGTTATAAATATATGAACCTGCTCCCTATCATTCCATCGTCTAATAACACTAAGAGATAACACTAAGGATATGAATCAGCATAAACTTACACATTATACTTATACTTATACTGTTGTTATTTCTGTATTTAGAGATGGGATCACAATAGCTATTAGTTTATTCTTCGGATAAATTTATCACACCGTTCCGAGCCGAATAACCTTTCTTGCACTTTTTTATATGGACTAGGGATAAAAACAAAAGAATAGCTTAAACCTATCGATTAAATCTATCGATTATATCTAGAACTATTTTCTAGTTACTATTTATTGTAACTAGCGCATCTGTATATGGATAGCGAGTGCGAACTCACGTTGTCATTTTCAACATATACTTATACTTTTAATTATTTCAATATACTTTTCTATTACAAATTTATCCACTCGTTCTTCAATCGGTTAACCTCGACAATTTTTCGTTGCTCATCTATCACAAACATAACGTCATCTGGAACGCAAATATTTGTGTATGTGGGTATGTAAAACTTAAAGATGCCAAAATATACAGAATGTACGTACAAATATATGGAATATCCAGTATCACGCACACTGTCTAATACGTATCTTTTATCACAGGACCCTACACATCTTTCTTCTTCTTCGATCCTATTCACTGCAACATGAACTGTCAGAAACATATGCATTCGGACCATCGTTTTCTCCAACTTACCAATCCACATACCCAATCGATAGACCGTGGATTTTTACGCAGTTACTGGAAACTTAACGACGCAAAATTGCACAGAATGCACACGATACAAGAGGCTATACGAAATACCCAAAGCATAGGGTTTTCTATTAGGTTGATAATAGATGATAAAGATTAGGTTGATAATAGATGAACAACAATTTCTGTTTTATATTATTTTATTGAATTAGGTATCATCCATTTCCTTCTATTTCTCTTATTACGTTCGTGCATAATTCGATAAACTAATATAAAGCAAAAAACATCGTGCGTCTATTATTTCCTTCTAAAATGAGAGAAACTTTTCGAACAACCTACTACGATACTTGTTACTTGGTATGTAAAACAATTTTCTACCTATAGTTTCTCTCGGTTACATCGTAAGAAATACGAATTTACAGCGAAATCCATAGTCTATCAATGGCAGCAAATTAGAAATCCCATTACTAGCCTATACTTACGATACGACATATCTCGAACATATAAAAAATAATTACGAAATCGTAGCAACGATAAAACAGTAGAACAGAAGCGGGTAGATATGCTCGTCGACACAGACAGGAACGAAAATAGAGCGGAAAGAAAGGGGGACAGTTAACCGAGGGATGCACACGTCGGTTGGAAAGAGAAGATATCGTTCGAGCTGTCTATCTACGAATCTGTGTATACAACTAAAAGAGCAAGATAGAGAAATTTGTTAGTAGGTGGAGAAAGGAGAAACGAGGAAAAAGCTGCGTGTTTCTCGTCTCTGACTGGTCTGAATCTGGTGGTCGGTGAAGTTATCGGAGGTCGTAGGTGGGTAAACGGCTAGGTGGATAGGTGGATAGGTGGAAGAGGTTCTTCAGGGATGCGGATTCCGTTGGTTTCGATAGGATGGTAGGCGGTCGCAACCGGTTTCATAGGTCCCTTACGCTCGAGTTCGCAGGCGTCGAAAACAGGTGCTTGACTTGCGCCGTCGTACGGCCACCCGTTTCGCTTTTCCTCCCAGAAACACGCCCTTCCTCGTGGTTACGCCGACGCCTCCGACGCATCCGATGCCACCCTTGCTCCCAACCGTCAGACGCTCGCGAGACGCCGACGCGATTGCTTCTTTTATTTCCATCTTATTCCCCTTTTCTTTATTCCTCCGCTCTTTCCTTCACTGCATGGTATTCTCCATGATATCGCGCATTTTCTTTCCTCCACTCGTCGCGCTGCTCTGCAAGATACGTTTCACTGTACAGCTTCGAGTATTAAGTTGTCCGGAAAGTGTCTTTCTTTTACAGACACGTCCCTTACAACGATGCATTTTTATACAAACGTGAAACCTAATCCGTCGAACGTTACGATCTTTATTTTCATAGGACAAAATGGATTATACGTAATTCAAAAATCTTCTGCGTCCATTATTTCCTTACAAAACGAAAGAAACTTTTCGGACGACCTAATAGTACGTTTACATCGTTGTTCATTTTGCAACTTACTTGGTATACTTTTTCTTCGTACGTCGCGATGCTTGTGGATATGAAAGATAACAATTTTGTCGTAGACTACGAATATGCATGTTGCGTCTTGAAAGATCACTTTGTTAAGTTTGTACCGTCTCTTTGGTAGACGAAGAGATGGTGGCATATTACGGCCAGGGAAGAGCAACCGCTCGAGTTATTAGAGCAAAGTCTGGTTGGAAAATAATTGTTGTTTCGTAATGTTTCTCTGGCAGAAACGAGTTCTCTGTAGAAGACGAGCAGTCTGGGCTGTTCAAACAAGCTTTGCTCGGAAATGGATTTTCTATTTATCGATTTTTCATTTGTTCTGTTTCTTTTGTAATCGAACAAACGATTTATATCGTGGCTACAGCAGATGATGGTTGTTAGAATAAAATCGGCTTGAGAAGCAGCTTGTTATTTGGTACCGTTCCTTTGGTAGTGGAAGCGCAGTTATTGTTCTGGCCATTTTATTACGTGGCAGGAACTAGGCACAGGATTAAAATCAAATCCCTCGATAAACAAGCACCAGCATTCGACTCTGATCGGACATCTCGATATAACGTCCAATCGTCCATCAACCGTTGTACAATTCCTTTGTCAATTAGCTTTCACATCAGACAAATGGGACGAGCAACACGCGAATGGCGATCTTCGCTAAGATGCCATTACGCGGTAGCTTAGAAACTGCGTTCTTTCGATCATTTTCAACTCGATGATATTTTCTAACGCTAAGAGAAACTTCAAATTCCAGTAAAATACGAAGGAACATTTGTACACTTTCATTCCCATGGTATATTTCACCATTAAAAGCTACTCGAAAAATGCAGAAAAATTGCCACTGTTATGCGTCTCGACTCGTATCTCGTGCGAATTTTACGTTGTATATTATTCCCTTGAAACGCTACGAATCTTCCGTGTGGCTAAAACGACAGCAAGATAGAGGGATGGAAAAAATTGAAGGATCGAACCGAAGAGAGTCGAACCTGTATATTTGTGGCACTGGCCTGGTAATATCGTGAAAATACTCGAGCTACACGACCGGGGTCACGTAGAGTATCGAACGAGTAAGGGAAATTTCGAGTGTGGGAAAAAGCCCCTTGGCTGAGGTTAACCGATGTCAGGTGGAAGAGGAGTTTAAACGAGATCGGGCAGGGAACAAAGCAGTGGGTACCGAGGAAATGAGCAGAGGTGGTGAAGTGTGGAAGGTAGTAGTGGCACGTGAATTGGCGCGTAAGTAGAGGTCAACTGGTGGCAGGTGGAGGATGGAAAGCATAGGCGGAGCCTTCAGTTCCGCCTCCACCTACAATCCCACCTCTTACTATGCTCCTCGTTTTCCCGGACTTTTTCCAACCTTCCCTCTTCTGTACTTTTTCCCCATTTCTATCGTTCCCTCTCTCTCTCTCCCTCTTTCTCTCTCTCTCTCTCTTTCTTCCTCTGTCTCGTATTATACGACACGTTCTCGCTGGAACTTGGCGCACGGTTAGCAGCAGTCTAGTTTCCGTAAAAATGTTGTTCTTCTTTTGCCTCTGGTAAAATGTTATTCTACCGCTTGGTTCCCGCCTCTCTTCTTCCTCTCCTTTCCTCTTCTCTTCTCTTCTCTTCTCTTCTCTTCATAGCAGGGGCTGTCTTTATCCACGGTGAAAAGAGTCGATCCATACGCGATCCTTTGGCGAAAGCGCACCTGCAAACCGCACGGCCCCACCTTCGTTTCCAGTTCCACCTACTCCAAGCTAGTGGAACAAGCTTCTAGCGGGCTACAGCCATTTTGCGGCAGCTTTTTTCCTCCCGACCACTCGGCCCGACCTTGTTCGCGCTTCATATTCCTCGTGTTCTACGCGAATATCGTTTTCAGAGTATTCTCTGCCCTCGCGGTTAGATAAGAAGAGGAAATTAAAGGAAACGTTTCCTGCCACGTAGCCAGTGGCAGTAGAGTTTGCGCTGCAGCTTCTGCTACAGAAACTTATTTCACCTTTTTCTGTCAATTTTGGTTTCTTATTTTTTTTAGAGATTTAATTTATTAACGCAGGGACAGAGTCGTTGTTGCATGCTTTGCGTACAGACGATCGATACATTTATAGCAATATCGACAGAGTTAAGCTAAGAGTTTCAGAGTTAACGATAAATTCAGATTTATGTAAAAATTTGACACTGTGAAAATAAGACGTAGAATGTTACAGATGGACGCTTCGTCAGGGACTAAAGTTATATGCAAATATCTTCTGTATATTCTGGAAGAAATGAAAATGAAGTAGTAATACTCGAATATAAAGAACCTTGGGTTACTTTAATCTGAAAATATTCTATGTAAAGATATTTAAAATAATAATCCGCGTTGTGTATATTTTAAAGGAAATGCAAGTAAAGAATTTTGGATTATTCTACCGTAAAAATGTTGGAAATTGCCTCCTGCGCTATCTTAAAGGAAAGAGACACAAAGTAGCGATACTTAGAATATAAATACTTGGATTATTCTAAGGTGAAAATATTCCAAGGGAAAATTCGTATTTAAAATATTGCTTCGTCCTATTTTAAAAGAAATGAAAGTGAAGTAGCAATATTGGAATATAATGCAGCAGAGTTTGGACTGTTTTAATGTGAAAATAGTCGACACAAAAGTATTTAGAATGGCGCACTGCGCTATATTTTGGAGAAAATGGAAATAAAGTAGTAATATCCGAATATAAGGAAACAGGATATTCTACTGCCACTTGACACTGTTTACTGGAAGATGATGAAATAAGAAAAATGTTTAAAATGTCTAAATATAAATGCAAATTGAAATTCATAATAACTCGAGTTAGAAAGAAATTTATTAATCGCAGAAGAGTCGATTTTGTAAAATTTCCAAGGAAAAACCAATATTTACTTTTTCGCTCCATTGTTTGCTGTAGGTTCATCAGGTTCAAACGAAATGAACGTAAAAATATGAAAGTAGAGGTTTCGCCTTCCAAAGTTACCTCACACTGATTCCTCTAGGTATGATCATTTTTTACAAAATTATTCAAAGATGGACAATTTCACTGGGAAGATTTTTCTGATGCCTCAATTAAATATGTAATTTAATATGTGACTTAACTATTTAGTATGAGACTAAGAATGATCATTTTTCAGAAACCTATTCAAAATTGAAAGATGGACAATTTCACTGGGAAGACTTTTCTGATGCCTTAATTGTACGTATTACAATTAAATATGTAATTTAATATGTGACTTAACTATTTAGTATGAGACTAAGAATGATCATTTTTCAGAAACCTATTCAAAATTCAAAGATGGACAATTTCACTGGGAAGACTTTTCTGATGCCTTAATTGTACGTATTACAATTAAATATGTAATTTAATATGTAACTTGACTATTTAGTATGAGACTAGGAATGATCATTTTTCAGAAACCTATTCAAAATTCAAAGATGGACAATTTCACTGGGAAGACTTTTCTGATGCCTTAATTGTACGTATTACAATTAAATATGTAATTTAATATGTGACTTAACTATTTAGTATGAGACTAAGAATGATCATTTTTCAGAAA